TATATTAATTGACACAATTAAAAATGAATATAGCTGCCTTTGATTTTGTCTAAAAGACAACCATCTAAAGAAAATGGAGAGGTAATGGTATAATTTCTTGGCGACATTACTTTCTTCCTTATAATTCATATGATTAATTGAAAACCTTGTTATTCATAATCACAAAATTCTTATTCATTTTTGTTATTTTTTTTGGTTAATTTCTCCATCATTCTTAATTATAAAGCTCTCCATGATTAGTTATTCCTTGTGTCAAGCTACAATCAATTGCACAAGACCCACCTCTCGTTTTGGTCTAGTCATTTGCAACGTAGCATCACCTAATCTATTCGAATTCAATTGTGTTTTTAGTTGAATGTACTTTTTAGGCTCATTTTTATTATGCTTTTATGATATTAAGAATATAATATGTATAACAATTTTCCTTACCCCAATGGGTACATGACTTTCTCAACCCGGCATAGTTGAGGATAGGGATTGCTTTGGCAGGGGGGGGACAGGGATGGGGACTAATAGGGATCCCTGACTGGGGTTGGGTCAGGGTGGGGAATGAGGTCCCTACCCCTGACCCCAATTTTATATATATATTTTAAATGAAGGACAATTTTTTATCACCGATGAGGATTGGGGCTGGGGACGGGGAATGTGATCCCCACCCCAAACTTGCCCCATTATCATTCCTAATTAAGAATTTAGAGATTTATAGGGTTTATTACTTTTTAGTAAATCTTAGTGTTAATTGGATGCATTGTCCAATTGCTTGATTTGCGTAAATGAAGTCAACCCGATAATATGCTTTTTGGGATTTTTGAAATTAGAGTTAAGTTTTCTTTTATTGGATTTTATTTCTTATACAACAATTCCAAGCTCTGGTTCATGGTCAATATCAAGTTAGAATTTTTGGTTTTAGTTATTGAATTCCATTTTTGGAGATACCACTTACACCAAGGTCCTTTTTCGACAAATTGGAATGGTATAAGCAAAAGGAGACTACATAGTTACTTTTAGCAATTCAATGAGTTTCTCAATGTAATTATGTTCACTAGCAAGAATACAAGTCCTTCAAAAGGCTATTGCTTTGTGATATTTATTGTTTTAGATTGTTAGTTTCGTACTTGCTGCAACTATAAAAATGGGATTTTCTTTTACCTTTTCCCTCTTCTTTTCCTCTCTCTGCTTGATATCACAAAAAAAAAAAAGATACAAGATAAAGATGCATAAACTTCCAAAGTGTGGATGTAATCAAATGTCCACATTTTTTGGCCTTTGGTAACTAAAAATTTGGTAGAAAATGATTTGCAAGTGTAACTTTGATACTTATCAATACATTAAATAAAATCCTTACATAAAAATAAAAGTATAGATTAATTCTTATTTATATTTCAGTGATTTTCTTTTATTTGTATGGAGGATTTAGGTAACCTTCGATGATCCATAACCTACAAGGAGGGTTTGTGTTGATCCAAGCCAAATTATTGGTGGTAAAAAGGAGTGTAATTTGACCTTACTTAAGGCAGTCTACCCAGATCATTTTTGCCTTTTGGTATCTTTTTTTTCTTTGTTTTATTTATTTGAATATACATCTGATATGTGATCGTTATTGGGGCTTTGATTTTTAAGTCACATTAGTTTACTTTTATAAACATTATTTAATCCATGAACTGAACATTTGTTATCTATGATGAGTCGCCATCCAAAATGAAAGATATATGTCTTTGTTCTTCCAACTATGCTCGTCTACAACCAAATGAGCATCTTCCATCAAATTTCACGTGTTTATTTTTTTCTTAAATACTGTAGAAATAGGAATGTCTAATGGACCGATCCTTAAAGAATTCAAACATGCTCTTATGTGGTTGGAAGAAATTCCATATATAAATCTTCCTGGAGACCTTTTGATTGCCTACATTGCATGGTGAAGTTTTATCTTTAGTTGTTTCAATGTAATTATTTATTGTTACTTTTTTTTCCTATTTTCCCCTTTGATCATCTCCCTCTCTCTCTTTCCATTGTATACATCGTTAGGAAATTTTCTTTTAAAGACTTAAAAAAAAGCACTAATTTTAGGCTTTATGCTTTGGGGCTTATAAGTTCTTTGGCTTTAGAATATGATATTTTCAAAAGTAATTCTTATAAGTGTTTTAGCTTTAGAATATTATGTTTTGTTCACGCTTTTTTTTTTTTATTTTCTTATTTCTTATTTAACATCTCTTTGTTGTTTTATTTAATGGAAACTTAAGAATGTGTTTAGCATCGATGCAACATATACAACATTATTTTCTGCACTGGATATGTGTGGGTTGGAAGCACTGTTTTATAAGAAAATAATATTTTTTTGTTTGGAAATGTTGTTGCCACGTAGGACATTTACATTCTATTTGGTACCGATGCTCCGTATCTGTTTTCAGCACTAACACCCATTATCTAGTGCTTATACTATGTATATATTATCTTACATCCATTGGTGGAAAAAAAATACATATTTTATCATATGGCCCCAATTGTTGAATAGACTATAAATAAAAAAAAAATCATTAAATCATGAGGAGATTGATTCTAGACCTCCGATGAATGAAAAAATAACTATAGACCTCCGATGACTGAACAAAAGGTCTCTAGATCTCCGACGACGAGATTGATTATCCGGTGATTGGTTACATGGGTAGACCTTTGGTGATTAGGAAAGGAAGACAATGCATTCGACCTCCAACAACTAAAGAAACGTAGAAGAATAAAATGTTTTAGGGTTCTTTAAAAGAGGGGAGAAGTATTTTACGATATGGTGCATTGCGTTGCACCATATCAATTTAAATATAATACACGTTGTATGCCACTTCACTACCACATAATGTTACCGTTGGTAGCAACGAGCTCCAAATTGAGAAAACATCGAACTCGGCATTTCTTCTGACCACGCCTTCTCAATTTCGAAGGCATGGTTTGAAACAATAATTTTCTTTTATGGAAAAACGGTTCCAAACATGTCGTTGTTTTATGGAACATCGATTTTTTTAACGTAACACTAATGTGCCACTATTTTCTGGAGCAACGACATTAATACCAAACATTGCCTAATTATTAGTTGGTTGAATACAAAAATTAGAAGGAGGCCTTCCCTTAGAAGTTTCTTCCCATAAGTTATGACTTCACCATCAATATCGAGCAACTTGTTCATGTTAAAAGCATGCTAAGACCTTTTCCTTTTTTATTTTTGCAATAGAGGATGACAAGCCCAAGTTTTAAAAGCCTAATTTGTAAGAACTCATGTTATTCTTTTAATGCAAACCATGTTAAGCCATCTTGATATGTGGGCCTCAACCCCTTATCTTACTTCGGCCTTAGAAAATGGGCTGTGTCTGACATAGATCTGTTCATGGGCCGGGCTGAGCCGAGCTTTCACTCTGGATTAATAGAATTTTCTAAGGCCCAAGCCCGAGCGGCCCACCCCGAAATTTAGCCCATATTATTAGTGGCTGAATAGAGAGAGAGAAGAATAAAATATATATATATATATATATATTAAATTATAAATATATAATTTAATAAATATTATATTATTTATATAATATATAAATACATATTATATATTTTATAAGATATATAATGCTGAGTCGGGCCGGGTCGAACTTTTTTGACAAATCCCCAAACCGATCCGAAACACAGTCGAGCTTACTGTGTTAGGCCCGAGATCAGGCCCGCAGACCTAATTACATGACCAAGCCCAACTGAGGTGCAGGCCGGGCCATCAGGCTACCCGACCTATGAACATGTCTAGTCTGACATAACCCACATCGTTCTGGGCTGTGCCATCCCATGAACGGCCCGGTCCATTCTACAAGTATTTATATTATGCATTGTAAAATTAATTTATTTTGTAAAAGAAAAAAATACGAGACCCAACAAATATATAAAGTATGTAGCTTTTCTTCGATGACCTAGCAAGAGGACTTGTGGTGTATTGATTCTAGTGAATTGGGTGGACGCCATATATAATTCAGGAAGTTTCCGTTTATTTTCTTAACGATAAAGACAAAAAATATTTTAATTTTAATAAAAGGGAGTTTTTTTTTTTCTTCTGTCGTTAAGAAAGGGAGAGTTGAAGTCGGATTTTGCATATATTAATGAATTTACATCTGCGCACCCACAAATTCCCCACAACATTTTCCAACCGTGTATTGGAATGACAACCTCGGGAGACGTTTCAAATTCACGCTTTGATGTGTATGTAGGAATTGAAGGGCATTTTGTAAGGCGCCTTCGGTGGGGCGCAGATGCGATATCTATACTTATGGTTAGTTGATACTCGGCTTAACTCCGAATACGGAGGCGCGGGATAAAAAATCCCGCGTAACTGCAGGCTCTCCTCGGTAGCCCTCACGTGCATCATGTTTTGTTCATAGGGCCCCACTACGTAACATGTATGCATGCAATGCAATAAAAAAAAAAAAGAAAAAGAAAGAAAAATCTATGACAGCAAAAAGTCATGGTATCGAAAGAACATCGACCAATCAAAGCATATTATGAATTTTGATGGACGACATATGATTGATCTCCCCTGTTATGATTCTGGTTGATTGGCTAAAAAAGCCAAAAAACCTTCCGTCTAGCGTGTTTTAGGGGTTTCTACCTATCGACAGCATAATAAAACGATGGGTTAGCATTGAATCCATTGATACAAGAGTCGGGATCTGCTGCCAACAAAATGAATTCATGATCTGTGTCCATACATTAGAGACATGGTAGGCCCCAATCTCACGTGAGAGGGTACAGATCATAATGGAACTATGGAAGCATGTTTTGGCAGCAGATCCGATATCTTGATACAAAAGCACGGCACGCGTGAAGATGTTAGATGTATACAATTCATCCACTCCGTCCATGCATGCATCCGTAGGCATGTATGATGTATACACATAGACAATTAGACATAAATGTTATGCTATATTATACGCCGTAGCTACAGCGCTTATAATTATTCTGGAGGGTATATTATAGGTTGAAAAGCGGAGCGGAGGGCGGTAGATGAGGACCGGAGAGACGAAATTACAGTGATAGGATCTGGAAATATATTTTAGGGGCTGCAAAAGAAATCTGAAAATATCAGCAAAGATCAAAGAGGAAGGAAGGGTTGTGTGTTGAAGAGGGGAGGAGATTGAAACTTAGAAGAGAAGCCGAATGGGGGAGGGCGGGTGCTGTCCATCGATGGAGCTGTTCCGCTCGGAGCCGATGCAACTGGTGCAACTCATCATCCCCATCGAATCCGCCCATCTAAGCATTTCTTACTTGGGCGAACTTGGCCTTGTTCAATTCAAGGACGTAATTTTCTTTTTGAATCATCTCATCTTCTTTTTCAGTATCTTCCTTTTTCGGTATTTTGTTGCAGCGTAACCCTCATTTGGCTATTCCCATTAAGTCTAGGAATTCATAAAAAAGTTAACTGGATAGATGAATGATTGTATTTGCCTCTCTAGATTTCTGGTTCTTCCGGGCTTTTGTCAACTGAATTTACCTTGATCGTATCTGAACGGTCTTATGCACTCTGATCTGCAAATATTGCTTGATTTGGCGACTGTATTCCTGATGAATGTTAGCGATGATGCGGATTGTACAATGTGATGTTGTGCTAGATCAATTCGTTGTTTTTTGCGCTGAAAGATTTCATTACGTTGTAATCTCATACGGTCGCGTACGGTCTAGTGATTTTGCACTGAAGTTCAGGAATTAGGTACACTTATTTTTCAGTTTCTGAACTTCAATTGCAATCATTCATCTAGCACCTTGAAGGATGAAGTGCAAGAATTTGAAGAAAGAGTTGCAATTGGCAAGTATAACAGATGGCACTCCAGCTCATTCTCTTATCTTCAATTAACTAATTAATTTTTAAGCAATGAATTAATTAGTTGATTGGTTTGATCGTTTTTCCCTGTCATGTATGTAATATTGCAATTACTTCCATAGAATTATCCTTCCTTGCAATCGACTGAGAAAATAGTATTAATTTTAGCGTAGAGCTTCTGTGACACATAGGGGTTTGGTACCTAAATTTAAACAGGGAAACTGGGAATAAAGTAGGTTTTGGGATGGATGGTAGAGGAAGGGGGAAGGGGATAAGGGAAGTATTACATCCATTCCAAATTCAATTGAAATAAGAAGAAACTTTAAATTGACCAAATGAACATTGGAAGTTGGAGGGTTTAAACAAATATTACTTGTGCGTAGAGTTTGGACCATGCTGGCTTTGATATAACATTTTGCTGATATGTGCATGCATGGTTGTGTGCGCACTTGTTTGCTCTCTTTTTTTTTTCAATAAATTGCAAACCCATGAATGATTTTCTGAACCTCTCATTAACCTGCTGAATCATGCAATTGCATGTCCCTGATTCTTGCTGTTGATTTTGAGCCTTTTTCAGCTTGGGATATCTGCCAGGCAAAAAGCCTGAGCTATAATATTAAAACTAATGGTTATGAATCATTCATTTATCTGGTCCGGATGTTAGATTCATAATGAGTTAGTCAATTATTCATGGTTTTAGTAGGTACTAGTAAACGTGAATGTGCATTTGCACGTGGCATTATCTCTAATACAAAATTATTTATAAATTCATGGGCAGTTTCTGAACGGTTATAAGTGGGCAGTTTCTAAACAGTTATAAGTGGGCAGTTTTTGAAGTGAGAGTAAAGGACATATATGCCCTCTTTATGCCCGTTGTATGCTTAGACAAGGGGGTAGAAAATGTCCAATGAAAATTTCAGAAAGAAGGGGCATTCGCTCTTTTATAGGTAGTATAGATAAATCTGTGTGACGTTTCTTAAATTGCAGGGAAAGCATGACTTGAATAAGCTATCTTCCCTTTATAGTTCTTCCCTTCCACTCTTCATGATCCTTGAATCTAGCTTCTTTTCTTTTCTTTTCATTTGTTTCTTGTTGAGCAATTTTGGTTATGTGAAAATGCCAGAATCTGATTTGCATATCCAAATCCTTATTACACTGGCCATTGCATCTATTTGTCATCTGTTGAGCTACTGTTTAGAGAATGAGCCTTGACAAGAGCAATCTATGGATCATGATTTATGAAAGGCATTCTGCTGATTGAAAAAAGAGGTTATTTGTATTTTATTTGTTCTCTCTATGTACAGAAAGTGTATACTTGTACATGCTTTTCTTTCAAGGGAAACTCTCCGCCATTTAATGCAACTGCCTTTTACTTTAAAAAATGTGTTATAGGAAAATGCATACAAATTTTGCTCATTCGTTCTTGGACTTGCTTTTCTTCCAAAGTGGTCGGCATGAAAGGAGCCATTACAGTAAATACATAAAAATTTTGCTCATTAGCTCTTGGACTTGGTTTCCCATACCAACTTTAGACAATGAAAAGAAATTAACTTTTACCATTCAGATAAATACTATGAAGGTTGGAAGGTAGCATTTTATTTTTTCTTCATTTGGAGAGTGAGAAGAAAGGGGGTTTATGATTTTCTGAAGCTTTGGAATTGATTGTAAAAAAACAAGAGATGGTTCAGATGGGGCAATGTTGGTCACTGGATGGGTTTTGAGGATTGAGGATTATACATGTTTTTGTCAGGGTTGGTGCATCTACTGGTTTGGCCTGCATGCTGCTATGTTGACGTATCTATTGTTTTTTCTTTGTCTTTATCTGTTGGGAGGTTAGTGGGCTATGATTTTATTGAATTTGCGAGGGAATTCTTTATTTTTATCAATCTAAACGGCATTTTTTGTTGTGGAGTGGTTTTGCTAGAGAAATTGTGGTCTTTTCTTAGAAAGTGTGAGTTTTAATTTTTGCTTTCTTCTTTTCTTGTGACCCCTTTATCACTTGTTCATGTTTCTTATTTTTTTTTTACCTCTAATAAATGTTTTTTTTTTTGTAAAAAAAGCACCACCAGCTTCTCTATGCAATCATTGCAATCTTCTTATCCTCTTACTAATTGCATTTCAATATGACTATGTAGATTGTATTCCATTTTTCTTCTATTTTGGGATATTGTGGAGGGTTCCACAGCAAACCTACATGGTTGAATAGCCCTACCCCTTTTTAACCTGCCTCTAGCCAAAAAAACCCAAGAAAGATAATCATCTGTTGAATTTCTTTGGGTGCTTTCCAATTATTTTTTTTTGGTTGCACGGTTGAGTGCTCATTACTCGTACATTTTCTATGGTTTTCTGATATCTAGTTTATTATTTCTTCCAGCTTAATGCAGAAAAGAGCCCCTTCCAGCGGACATATGCTACTCAGGTATATATTTGTTCCACTCCTCTCGTTTTTAAGGTTATCCATGTTTGTACGGTTGCAGGCTTAGGTTTTAAAGTTACATACTTTTCCCCCAGCATGCATATTGTACTTGTAGTAAGTGCAAATTGTGGTAACTGTTAAATCTATGTCAGTGACTTGGCCGCCCAGCATTATTTTATAAATTCAAATACATATTGCTGAAAAAGGTATTTTTTTGATAAGTAAACAATAGGATTTTATTGAAAGATTAAGAATTCACAAACATCACAAGAGGCCCAAGGAGAGATGTGAGGTGCAGCTTCTCAAAGAGCATAGTATCAAATTACAAATGAGCCTGAAACAAATGATCCCTATTAACCCCTTGTTTGGCTAAAGTATCTGCAATCCCTTTAGCCATTATTCTTTCCCATTGGAATTCTTATAGTCATACTATACTTTTAGTAAGCCATTTGAATCTCTTGATCTCATTCATATAAGCCCATACCTGTGGGTGTTTTATTCCATCCTACCATCAGCTTGGAGTCTCCTGCAATAATCAAATTGTCAAAATTAAGCTGTCTTGCTAACTGTATTGCTTGGAGTACAACAAGGAGTTTATATCTAACTGAGCCTCTACACCTGCTGGTCCCGAAAATAATGCAAAATCTGTTCTTTCTTTGTTCCTTAAAACACCCCTACACTTGAAGGACCTGGGTTTCCAATAATGCTCCCAAAATTTAGTTTAATAAAATCTTCTTTATGTGGAGACTAAGGGAAATAGATCCTTTCCTTCCTTGAAGATCTTCTTTGCCACTATACCCCAACAAAGAGAAAATATCTAGTCTTCTCCCAATGTATCACCCTTGTCAACATGTCCTCTGTCACTGCATCCTCACTTTGTTCTTTCTCTAGGAAAATTCTAGCATTTCTTTTTTCCCAGATGGTTCAAGCCAAGGCTGCCCTTGTACACCTTCAAAGGCCTCTCCCCCCTTTTCTTGGGCCACCTAAACGTGTAAGAGTCAAAAAGCATGTTAACCTCCAAAGGCAAAGTCCAGCTGCACCCGAACAAAGAGAAAAAACAGGAGATTAGTAGGTGGTAATAACTTTCTCCATTGGCTTGCAAAGAATGCACTAATTTGTTGATAAGAAAAGAAGAGGCTTTTTCCTTTGTAAATTATCCAAGGTATTAATCTTCCCATAGAAGACTTAGACTTGGTATAGACCGGATGGCCGACTGTCAAAATCAAAGAATCAATATCCAAAGCAGTTTTAATTAAAAAAAATCCCATAGAAGAATTCCCAACAAAAGGCACCAGCTTTAGGGGGAATAGTTCTTCACCAACTTTCCTTTAGAGGGAAAAGACTGGATGGAGGGAGAAGAGCACAAAGAGGAGTAAAAAAACACAAGAGTTACTTAGATGTCCTAAGTTAATGCTCAATCAAATTTGAGTATTAAAATATGAAGTGTTAATGTTTTTAACATGTTGGCACCAATAGGAAGAATATTAGTTTTATTTTATTATTTTTATTATTTTTATTGTTTAATAATAAGATTCATTAAATCATAACCAAAAGAATACAACTCAGGGAGTGGCACGAGATGCTACCTCCCCTTTAAGAAGGGGAAATGGAGGATTCCATCTACCCTTTTGTTGATTACACAAAACAAAGAAAAATTACAGAGAAGCCCAATACAAAGTAACCTGAGAAGCCCCTTGTTTGGCAAGAGCATCAGCCGAGGCATTTGCCAATCTGCCCACCCACTGAAACCTGCTATGTTCCTTGTGAGCCATTTAACCTTTTTTTAGAACATCCTTAAAGCCCCAACTAACAGTATTCAGAATATTAGTTGGAGAACATGTAGGCAGAATCCTTCCAGACTAGATGTTTTTTGATTTTTATGGGGGTATATAGAAGGGTTTTCTTGTGTTTCTTGCTGAATTTTTAATAAAATCTCTTTCACCTTGTGGTTGGAGGACAGCATACTTCATTGTTAACTTATTCTGTCATCAGCAATACTTAATCCAGGAGTGGTCGGGTGGTTCTCCCCTGTTTCTAGGAGCCATCAAGCTATATTTTCTTTCCTGATTAAAAATGAGAACATTATATATGTGATTCTTTCTACTCTAGCATTGAGAGTATAACCAAGATCTTAGCCCTCCTTCAGGATCCTGTTTTGTTGTTTTTCTTGAGTATTGCATATTTTAAGGTTGAGGGATTTCTGGGTTGTTACCATATCCAGATGAACAAATGGTCCTTGGAACTTAGAGACATGATCAGGGAGGTAAAAAGCCTTGGCATCTGGAGTGAACATCTCACTTCGATGGATACTGCAATATGCCGATTTGCTTGATAACAGTCTAGCTAATCCAAGCATGGTCAGGACTAATTTTTATTTGGGAACATGCACTCCATGATAGTATTTATTCTTGATTTATCTCTTTGTATGTTTGTCTTTGGTGGCCTTTTAGGCTTGGGTGTTTCCCCACTTCTGTCTGTTAGGAAGTGGTTTTAGTGATACATTTGCTTCATCCTTGTTTGTTTTTTTTTTTTCAATCTTTAGTAGAATAGTTTGTTATTTATCAGAAAAAAGTTGGTTTACTGAATGAAATTGTTGATAACCTCTTCCCATTGCCCGGGAGAGAGCTTTGAGTTTCAGAAACAAATGATGAGGCAAAATTCAATATCCTGCTATTCATTATTTAGTCATTTATAACCATTGGTGGTCTGAGACTGTTGCAGTAATGATTAGGCACTTGATATGGTTCCAACGGCCTGTACGGCAAATCAGGTGGTTATAGTGGAATATTTGATGCAGGCTGACGTGGCTACAACAGCGCAGCAGCGCCCCGCATCATCCCCTCCTCCTCGGAAAACGCCTTGTCCTCGAGGGGTGTCGATGGGTATCGATGCTGCATCTGACTGAGAGCTTCCTAGGTGGCGTTGGCAGGGCTCGTCCCTCCCATTGTACCATGATTTCAGTGACAACACGGTTCCCTTGTTTTACCATACGCCTTTCAAGCACAGCCTTCGGGTGGGGAAGGAGGTCCCCTCCATGAGTAAGTGGTGGTAATTCAGGGCAGATATGGTTCGGATCCCCGACGGAACATTTAAGCCAAGATACATGGACTACTACTAGGTGGATCCGATTATCTAGGGGAAGAGCCAATCTATAAGCCACCGGGATGATCCGTTCGATGATGGTGTAAGGGCCGTAGTACTTGGCCAATAGCTTTTCTGATTGGCGAGCTGCAACGGAGGTTTGTTGGAAAACCTCATCTTCTACCTCAAATTCCCGTTCTGTCCTTCGTTGACCCGTCTGTTTCATTCTTTCTTGTAACCGGGCTAGATTCTCCTTGAGCTTCATCAAAGTCGTTTCCCTGTCCTCCAATTCTTCGTACACCACTTGTACCTTAGTGGTCCCCGGGAGCCAGGATGTAGGTGAGGAGATTGGGAGGGGGACACCAGTAGACCATGTGAAACTGGGTGGTGCGAATGGCGGAGTGGTGCCAACCATTTTGTCCAAGTTTGCAGGCTTTGTCCGGCGAAACAACACAAATATGCCTCCAGAGTTCGTTTCACCACCTCGGTTTGCCCGTTAGACTAGGGATGGTAGGCCGAACTCATCTGTAGTTGTGTCCCCTGTAGATAGAACAACTCCTTCCAAAAATTCTAGTGAAGAATGGGTCCCTATCGCTCACTATGCTGCTCAGCATCCCACGAAGCTTGAACACATTCTCCATGAATGTGTGAGCTACTCCCTAGGCCGTATAGGGGTGTGATAAAGCTACGAAATGACTATATTTGGTTAGTCGGTCGACTACCACCATGATAGTTGACTTTCTGTTGGAAAGTGGTAGCTCATCAATGAAGTCTATTGACATATCCCTCCAGACATACTCGGATATTAGTAGAGGCTGCAGTCGTCTGGGAGTGGGGACGTTTTCACTATTGTTTCATTGGCAAGTTTCGCATTCACAGATCTAGTTGCGCACTTGTCAACGATACCCCTTCCAGAAGCATATCTTCCGTAGTTGTTGCTTTGTTTTTTGGTAACCTGCGTGTCCTCTCAGGGGACTCAAGTGAGCTTCTGTGAACAACTTCCAACGGAATTCAAAGGTTGGCCTGAGAACCACCCGCCCCTTTTTCCACACCAATCCATTCTTCAAAGTGGATTTCATGCTGGAGACCTGCCCCTGTTTGATCTTCTCCACTAACTCCTTCACCCATTCATCCTGGTCATGCTCCCGAAACAGCTCTTCCACCCACTTCAGTGACGGGTTGGAGATGGCTTGCACTTCTCCTTCAACACAATGGGACAGGGCATCAGCAGTGGTGTTCTCCTGATCCCTCTTGTATTGCAATGTGAAATCAAACCCCATGGTTTTGCTGAGGAGTCGTTGTTGGTAGGGAGTGGTGATCCTCTATTTAAGCAAGTATCCCAAGCTTTGGTGATCACTCCTGACTACGAACTTCTGTCCCAGAAGATACTGTCGCCATCGTTGGATAGCCATGACAACGGCTAGCAATTCCTTATCATACGTGGATTTGGCTGCGTTGGTGGGGTTCAAAGCTTGACTAAAAAAAGTGATAGGTCTCCCTTGTTGGGATAGAATGATGCCAATACCAGTTCTTGACACATCACATTCCAGTATGAAGGGAGAGTTAAAGTCCGGCATGGCCAACACTGGAGTGGAAGTCATGGCCTCCTTTAGCTTCTGGAAGGTGTCCTCAGCTTTCGGGTTCTGGCCCCAGGCTCCCTTCTTAAGCAGTCATGTCAGTGGTCGGGCTAGTTTCCTGTTATCTTGGACGAACTTTCGGTAATACCATGTGAGGCCCAAGAATCCCCCGAGTCCGGTTGGAGATTTGGGTTTGGGCCATTTCACCATACATTCGATTTTGACGGGATCCACCTCTACTCCACTAGCTGAGATAATATGTCCTAGGTAGCTCACTTTGTTGATCCCAAAGCAGCATTTACTTCTTTTGGCATGCAGCTTGTGGGCCTTCAGAGTCACAAGCAC